AGCAACTTTATTTCTACACACCTTTCTGACCTACACTATGGAAATAGCTAAAGTAAACTAGTCGAGCTGTTTCAACACTGGTTAGACTTCTGATCTTTTTTACAGCATATGCTGCAGAACTAAGTCTGCTTGCTAGTTTTGATATATGGGGGCTCCATTGAAGCTTCGCGTCTAGTGTGATTCCAAGAAAAATGGTGGTAACTACAAGACTCAGTTTCTCCCCATTTAAAATTACATTAGTATTTAATTGTTTGACATTTGGAGTCATGAATTTCATACATTTCGTTTTAGTGCCATTTAAATGCAAATTATTAACATTGAACCAATTTACTAATTTAGATATAGCATTATTTACTTCGTCATATTTTAGTAATTGTCGATTTAATTTGAAAATTAGAGAAGTGTCATCTGCAAATAATACTATATCATGGTTATCCCCTACTATGTAAGGTAAGTCATTAATGTATACAAGAAACAGAAAGAGGCCGAGAATTGAGCCTTGAGGCACGCCAATTTGTACCATCGATCCGGAAGAGCTCATATTGTTAATGACAACTTTTTGCGTTCTCTTACTTAAATATGAAATAATTAATTTACTTCAAAAGCTAAATGAAATAGGCATAAGAGGTCTGGCTTTGGACATGTTTCGAGACTATCTCTCAGAACGCAATCAATGTGTCAAAATAGATTCTTTTCTTAGTGATAATAAATATCTTTCCTATGGAGTCCCTCAGGGCAGTGTACTTGGACCGACGTTGTTTCTGGTATACATAAACAGTCTCTGTCGCTTGACTATTCCGAACTGCCGCATCATCACTTACGCAGATGACACTGTTCTCTTGGTACACGATAAAACCTGGGAGACTGCTCGGTGGCGAATGGAGGTGGCCCTACGTGTTGTATCAAACTGGCTCTATGACAATTTGCTGACCTTAAACATTGATAAGACAAAGTATATTACCTTTTCTGCATCAAAAGCATCACAACCCAAACGTGATCCTTACTACATCAAAATACACCACTGTGACACGATAAATGAAAACTGTGCATGCATGGCAATAGAACAGACGGATAATATAAAATATCTGGGAATTATACTCGACAGTACCCTTACCTGGACACCTCAAATAGATAACATGGCATCGCGGATTAGAAAAATTATTCCAGTTTTTAAAAAATTGAGGAATGCGGCGGACTCAAAAACCTTGAAAATGGTCTATCTTGCGCTGGCCCAGTCGATTCTGACCTATTGCATCCCTTCCTGGGGTGGGGCGTCCCCCACTCATTTTCTAAAACTGGAGCGAGCACAGCGAGCCGTGTTAAAGGTTACGACTAAAAAACATTACCGTTACCCTACTACCCAACTATATAAAGAATGTGAGGTGCTTACAACCAGGCAACTCTACATACTTCAAATGATACTTCGTAGACATCGTTCACTTCCACTGGAACGGCGTGCACAGAAAATAAGTCGAAGACTGGAATACCGGGTATGTGAGCACGTCCCCCACAGAACCGCTTTAGCTCGTAGACAATACTATGTCCGAAGTAATCATGTGTATAATAGGATTAATAAAGAACTTGATATCTATAATGCTACCGCTAGAAATTGTAAACAGGAACTGAAACATTGGCTGCAGAGACTTTCATATGATGATACAGAGGCGCTTTTACGATCCCCCTATAGAGATAACTAAACCACATCTTATGATAAAGTCGTACTCATCACACACTTGTGGCGATTGCTGTCTTCGGCACAACCAATCCCAAGATGTTTAAAATAGGGCAGGGCTTATGCACACATTAATACTCTCACTCTCACACACTCACACACACACACACACACACACACACACACACACACACACACACACACATTTACTAACTTCTACGTGTACACTCGCAATTACATCCCCCACTATTATACTTAAATAATGTCTCCATATGTAGTGGTTTCAATAATATTATGTAGTACTACTAAACAAGGCATTTCTTAAATTGTTTCCTATAATGTCCGGTGGAAGGCGCTAGCGTCTGTAATACAGTTTTTACCATAAAACTAGTACAGGTGCTAACGATCAACCTATCTTACCAGTAATTGCCAAAAAAGAAAATCAAAACGACTACTGTAATAGTTTAAGATACCCTGCTTGTAAACTAAGTGAAATAAAATTTATTATTATTATTATTATATTAATTTAAGAGCATCACTTCTTACACCGTAGTGTTGAAGTTTCCTGATTAATGTTTCATGGTGAACACAATCGAAGGCCTTGTATAGGTCACAAAATATACCCAAAGCATCCTGTGAATTCTCCCATGCATTAAAGATATATTTAACCAGCTCAACACCGGCATCAGTTGTCGAGCGACCCCTTGTGAAACCAAATTGATTTTTATGAAGTAAATTATTTATATTAAAAAAATTTAACATTTGATCAAGAACAATTTTTTCAAAAATCTTACTATGTGTTGGTAGTACAGAAATAGGTCTCAAATTGGCGGGGTCTAATGTACTACCAGATTTAAATAAAGGTATTACTTTATTATGCTTCATTAAATCAGGAAACACACCAGATTCGATACTAGTATTAAAAATAATAGCTAAATGAGGCGCGATTGTATCTATTATAGACGCAATAACTTTAACGGCAATCCCCCACAGATCCGCAGTTTTCTTAACATCAATAGTTTTAAAATATTTTACAATATCTTTTGATGACACTTTATGAAATTTAAAATTCTTTGAACACGCATTTACATTTTGTTTAAGTAATGATTCGGCGACGGCAGGAGAAGAATTCAGTGACTTAGTGGTCAAGATCGAGTGACTTAGTGGTCAAGATCCTAGATAAGCCTACTAGAACTAGGTAGGTCACTTATAAGTGAGTTTCTATCTACCATATTAAAAATAGTAAATTATAGTCAAGTTACTACTTACCTAGTGGAATATTTAGGATAATTTAAAAAATTATATATTTTTATTTCTTCTATTATTATTCATACAATACAGTAAACCATATTAATACTTTTTATTTCATTTGACACAAATAATAATTTAAAAAATAAAATTTGAGACTTATTATTTTTTACATAACCCTGAGTTTGAGCACGTTTGTTGTGTGGTGTTCTGTGATAGAAGAGTCTATGAAAATAGTTTCATAGAGTTCATCCCCATGAAATGAGGGCTAAAAATTTTCTGCTCACCAGATGTCGCTAGTTGACACTGAGGTAAAGTTTTTTGTTACACAATGTAATTGAGAAGATGTGTTTTAATAAATGTTTATCAGTTTCTAGATTATTACATTAATACACAAAACAATGCGTCAGTGGTTTGCTCTTTAACTTTTTGCACATTATTAACTTTTTTTTTAATTTTTCTACTTTTATGAATAATTGTGATTTGGAATATTTATTTTTAATGTTGTTATTATAAAAAAATAGTACAGAAAGAAACAATAACTTTACATTTAACTAAAAAATTTAACTATATATAAACATTTAACATTTAACTACAACTTTACTTTACATTTTCCGAACAAATTAACTTCCCTGCTATGACATCTATCAAATATTATACCTCACTTTCTAATGGCGCCACCCTGGTGGCTGAACAAGTCGTGGATGCCCTCATTATTCAACGTAATATCGCGTATAAGGCCGGCCACATACATACGGAATTCCGTTTCAGGATTCCGTTTCGATATTCGGATTCGGAATCCCGAACGCAGCAAGTCCATATAAAATATATGACCCATCCCACACGTACGGTATTTTTCTGTACGGAATTTTCTCCGATTCGAGATTCCGTATGACCGCCTGTGCGTTCGGTATCCCGAATGGAAAAAAGCCGCTACGAACGCAAGTCTTCTATAGATTTGGTACGAGTGGCAACACACATACGTAAATTCCGTACGGAACGCACTCAGTGTTCGTCGCATGACCGAAGCGAGTAGGTGTGTTTATGTATGTTTTTACATTTAATCTTGTAGGTGTATAGCTTTCTGTAACATTTCATCTTATTTTATTTAATAATTCGTCGAAAGAATTTACAGACATAAATCTTTAAAAAATATCTTTGGATAGATAGACCTTTTCACATAATATTGACTATATTGCAAACTTATACAGCAACAATGGAATCGCAATTAGAAAATCGTCGTAATTATTCGCTGGCAGAATGTCTAGACTCATTGGCTAACGTCTGTCATCTGACCCTTGTTATTCCGAACGGAAAAAAACGTATGTGTGTAATGTATTCATGGAATCCCGATTCGGAATTCCGAAACGGAAGGAATTCCGTATGTACGTAGCCGACCTTAAATGTAGACATGGCTTAAAGGACAAGCATACTAGCCAAAAAATGTTTGTCTGCCATACTATACTCTTTGCTGTCTGCTTAAATAATGGTTTGAAGTGGATTTTGATATGTAAAAGTGGTGCTATTTTGTGTATTAAGTGTCTGCGCATGTGAACTATTAGTGGAAACTGTGAAACAAGTGCTCTGATGGTGATGTGATTCTCAAAATAAGGTGTCTGTCTGCTTAGGCGCCTTGAGATACCATCGCCAACCGCCAGCTGTATGCTGGCTCAAGTTGCCGTCAAAATCTCACAAGGGCTGCACAATGTGACGCATCAACATATTGTGAAGCAGTATACTATGAAGGATAATTATAATATATTGTAACTTCAGGCTCAGAAAGGCTAGATCCCAGAGCTGTAAAGCAAGTTATTAAAAAAATATTCTATGTTACAAACATTATAATATGTACCTCAGTTATTTTTCCAAACCTGATGTGAAATCTGGATTTAAGTTTCAATATCTTATCTATAATGTGCATTTGATCGCAAACTAATCTTACAAATAGATTATCAGTCTTCTAAACATATCGCATTCATTGTAATGACTGTCAATTCAGTAAAGCGTGACAGTGAATGGAAAAGATAAATTATTGAATTCCTTCCAGCTGCTTTTCGACAAATGTAATTTGGTGCTCGATATGGAGGATTATAAATTTCTGTTTAAAGTTGTATTAGTTGGAAACGCTGGTGTGGGTAAAACATGTTTAGTGCGTCGTTTCACACAGGGTCTGTTTCCTCCAGGCCAAGGCGCAACTATTGGAGTAGATTTTATGATTAAGACTGTAGAAGTGGACGGCGAGAAAGTGAAGGTGAACAAGTTTCCAAAGCGCGACTAATTTGGTTCATTTGTCACTGCTATTAAATTGTTGCATTGTTGTTGTTCATAAACTCTTAATCTTCTATGATTTTTATGTTATTATTTAAGTTATATTAAGAAAAATATAAAATGAGTACACTTTTCTAGAAATTTTAAATTAAAAAAAATTGCTGAATAAATTCCTGATACACATCAGAACACAATCTTGATACTGCAATATGATTATAATGTAACCTATTATTTTATATCATGAAGGTTTTAGTGTAAAAATCATAATAAACTCTTTCAGCTTCAAATTTGGGACACAGCAGGGCAAGAAAGGTTTAGGTCTATAACTCAGAGCTACTATAGATCAGCCCATGCTCTTATTCTAGTGTATGATATATCTTGCCAACCAACATTTGACTGTTTGCCTGACTGGCTCCGTGAAATTGAAGAATATGCTAACAACAAGGTGCTAAGGATTTTAGTTGGTAAGTATCATTCATTTTTACTATAACTATACCTTTGATGTTAATTAAAACAATAGTCTCAGAATAAATCAATAACTTGCCTTTACACAAAATTATCTTTTAACTGACTTCAAAAATGAGAAGGTTCTCAATTCAAGTGCATGTTTCTTTTTGTATGTATGTTACACAATATCTTTGCAGGTTGTGAACTAATTTCGATGATTCTTTTTTTTATTAAATAGGTTATACTTAAAGGGTGGTCCCATATAAATTTGGAGAAAAAAATTTCAACCCTAAGGGTGGCAAATAAATAACCACTTTTTAATTGTTATATTGACGCCGAGGATTCCAATACTGGCCGAGGCAACAAGGGGAGTGCCTTGAAACTAAGGAGATACGACAATGGGGTTCCTTTTAGTGGTAAACGTGCAAACTTGTGTCTTCTGGGGATTGAATCTAATCCGAGACTTTGTTCAACAAAGTCTAGACTTTAGACACAAGTGTGTTCCAGTACTTCATAACGTTTTCCCAAGAAATACTGGCATAGCCAGTGTATAGAACATCACCAGTGCTGTTATCTGCATAGCAATGTATGTTACCGGTTTGCAACATATCATTGATATGATAGTGATAGCATGCAGTCTTGTAGATCACCAGCGTTAATAGGCTTGTAATCGGAGCATGCACTGTTTACAACAAACTTAATGCTCTGATCAGCCAGAAAACTGGTGATTCAATTGCACAATTTCTCGGGATACCTATGGGAAGGAAGCTTCGAAAGAAGAGCTTTGTGCCAGACCCGATCAAAGGCCTTCACTATGTCCAAACTAAACAGCCAATGCCTCCCCCTTGGACTCGAACGCCTGCACCCATCTATGTGTTAGGTAAACAAGAAGATCACCAGCTGAGTGACTCAGACAGCAACCGTACTGGTAGTCACTTATTAGCTGGTGCTCCTCAAGGTACCGCATGAGCTGGCAGTTAATAATGGACTCCATTATTTTCGAGAACAAGGAGGTGATGGCAATATGCCTCTAATTGGATGGACCTTTTTTAGGAATCGGGTGCATGAAAGCTGTCTTCCATAAATTCGGGACAATGCCTAGGGAGTAGGAGTATCGAAAAAGACACGTTAGAACCGGTGCCAACTCTGGCGCGCATGTCCTCAGCACATTTGGCGGGATTCCGTCAGGTGTCCAGGGAGAGAAGTGCTTTGCGTACTGAGCACTGTGTGAATCGCACATTAGGCATAGAGCACACACACTACGGGATGGTCGGCGGTATGTTTCCCTCATCATCAAGTGTGGAGTTGGACACAAGAAGGGAGCCTAAAAGGTTGGCTTTCTCTTTTGCGGCGTGGGCCAGTGAGTCATTCTCGTAGTGATAGCTTACAGAAATTCCCTTGGACAGTCTTGGGGACGGGAGCGTGAGTGGCAACACACTCCGGATCAGACAATGCTCCGAAGAGCCGAGAAGGGCATTGACGGCAACCTGATATCTGTCCAGATGAGAGGTCAGCAGAAGGTCCAACAGGGAAGGTATATGATCCTCCACATCTGGAATCGTAACCAGTTGTGTTAGACCATATGCCAATGTAAAGTTATAGACAAATCTACCCGCATGATCGGGTAAACGTGAACCGAGCCAATCAGCGTGGTGGGCGTTAAAATCGCCAAGTATCACAACCTCTATGGATGGAATCTGTTGTAGCAACAAATCTGTAGCCATTTCGACCTGGTCGATGAGTCGGTCTGTGTTGGCATTACTGCTATGGGACCTATACAGGCACCCATAGACGCGGGGATGGTAGTCACTGTCTACGTGCAGCTAAAGAATGGACAGGTCCATACCTTCAAGACTGCCAAGGCGTCGAGATCAGATATCCTCTCTGACATATACACAAACTCCAGCCCGGGGCACAAAGACGTGTTCTAATTTGTACCATAGGTAGGACAAGTACAAAGTATCAGCTGGAGAGAACACCTGCATCTTAGTCAAAAAGAGCAAGGCCGGCTTTGCCGTCTCTAGATGGTAGTGGACGGCGTTATGATTCGAGTGAAGTCCCCTTATGTTGCAGAAGTCCACGGACTTTGCCCCGTGCAGTGTTAGTATAGAGCGGGATTTTGTCTCCCCCCCCCCTCCTCCCCCCAAAATACTATGGGCAGCCTGAGCACTTACGCTCATGAAGTAGAGGTTAGCTTGACTGGGTGCTCAGTGAGGGATTCTCCATTACCAGAGGAGCTGGTACCCTCCTGGGGTAATGTAATGGGTGAGGGGGGGGTTGGGCCTCCGGACACCTGCACTAACCAATCCATGCTACAGCAGAAGCTGTAGTGTGGCTCTACCACTGTGCAAATAGATATGACATAATACATTGTATCATGCATTCAAATATTTGTAAATATTTGGATAACAAGGTAACAGTTTTACTTTAATTTTTAATCTCAGGTAACAAAACTGACAGAGAAGATAGAGAAATACCAAGGCATATAGGGGAGGACTTTGCACAGCGACATGGAATGTATTTCCTTGAGACGTCAGCCAAAGAGGCTGAGAATGTGGAACGGTTGTTCATGGAAATTGCTGTTGAATTAATGGAGGTATGATGAATGACAATTTAATTTAGTACAGGTATTTGTAAATTAGCATAGCTTTTACAGGTTTATTTTACAATAACCAGCCAAATTTGCAGAGAATGTTGAGAATAAGTAATATTGGTGAAGAAAAATTAATTAAAAAAATCTCAAACATTCTGTCCTTTTTGTCTCTTAAATTCAAAATGTGTGGTAAAACATTATTTTAACTGATTTCACTGCGCACGCACACATGGGTGATAGGTAGGCAAAAATGTTGTTGCCCACAAATCACATTTTATTTGTATTTTCAAAAACTGCATGATAGACCTATCATTATTTTTAAATTTGAACTCAAATTTAAACTTATTCTTATTCTATTCTTTGAAAAATAACTCTGTATTATCTTTATATATAAAACTTACGTGTCACATTGTTTGTCTGCGATGAACTCCTAAACTACTGAACTGATTTCATTGAAATCAGTTCTTCCAATTTGATCCAACTTGAGAGATAGGATAGTTTTTATCCTGATAAGTGACGCTCAATATTTTTTTATTACGAATTTAAGGATTTTTTATATGAAGGGTCGTCGAAAAGGGCAGAACAACGTCTGTCTAGCCAGCTAGTAATAATAATAAATGTTTTCTTTTAGCTTTGTATGGCCTTGGGCATTTGGTCCTAGCTTATTGCTATCTTTAGTGCAATAGTAATAGTAATAATAGCCTTTTATTCCTAAACATAGGGTTACAAGAGGTCTCTAAGTTCGGTGTGCCTTTTTCGCATAGGCCTCCTCCAATTCCTTCCAATGGTTCCTGTCCCTTGCTACTCTCATCCAGAATGGTCCCGCTGTCTGTTTCAAATCGTCTTCCCATCTCCTGACTTCACGACCCCTGCCTCTTTTGCCGTCTCTTAGTTGCCAGAGAGTGACTTGCTTGCTCTATTTGTTAATGGGGTGGCGTAGCAAATGTCCAGCCCATCTCCATTTTTGGGTGTCTATCTGGGTAAGAATGTTTGTGAGTTTTGTTCTTGTTCTAATGTCTACGTTCCTGACTCTGGTCTTTGATTTTTAACCCTAACATGCTTCTTTCCATGGCACGTTGGCTTTATGTGATTGCCTAGATCCTTACTTTTCACTATTTCCTTCAGTGACCAGTATTTTCTCCATCCTTGGGCTATTCGCCTGTTTATTTCCTTTGTCATTTCATCTGAAGGGGATATTATCTGTCCTAAGTAAATATATTCTTTGACATATTCGATCTTGTTGCCATCTACCATAACGTCTATTTCCCTTGAGTTTGACATTAATTTTGTTTTACTGGCATTGATTTCCAGACCAACTTCTCTACTTATATTTGCTAGGCTCTGCATCATTTGTTCTATTGCTGCTGGATTCTCTTCAAGAAGCACCAGATCATCGGCAAATCTTAGATGGTTTAGGCGAACTCCATTAATGTTCAGACCTAAGTGGTCCCAGTTTAGCTGTCTAAAGATGTGCGCTAGTACGGCGTTAAATAGCGCAGGGGAGAGAGGATCGCCTTGGCGTACGCCCTTTTTGATAGGAAATGGTTCTCCTGTTGATTCTAGTTTAATACTGGCCTTGCTAGATTTGTATATACTCTTAAGTATATCTATATAGTTGCTCTGGACCCCTTGTTGTTCAAGGCTCCGCCATATGTATTGGTGCCTGAGGCTGTCAAATGCCTTTGAGTAATCTATAAACGCCAAATAGATTTGTTTATTGTATTCGTTATACTTCTGTATCAACTGTTTTATTGTGTGAATGTGATCTATTGTGCTGAAGTCTTTTCTGAAGCCTGCCTGCTCTACGGGTTGGCTTTCGTTGAGTGTTAATGATATTCTTTCCAGGATCACTTTAGCAAATACTTTATATATGTTTGATATAAGAGAAATCGGCCTATAGTTCCCAATGTCGTCTCTATGGCCTTTTTTATGTAGTAGAATTATGTTTCACTCGGTCCATTCTTCTGGAATTTGCCTTGTTTGTAAGATTTCATGGAAAAGTTTTGCCAGCACAGGACTGATTTCCTCTAAGGATCCCTTGAGCATTTCATTAGGTATCTTGTCTGGCCCTGGGGCTTTCTCGAGTTTTTGGGATTTTATTGCCTTGATTACCTCTGATGTAAGGATTTCTGGCACTTCATCTACTTTGTTTTCTTTTACTTCGTTTACTTCCGTTATCGTGGCCATCCCTGAATCGAATTTATCTGAGTACAATAGGCGGTAATAGTCTGTAGCTAGTTTCTGTATTGAGAGTCGATTAGTTAAGTAGGATTCGCGTCGCTTTAGTTTCGCTATCCATTCTTTCCCATGTTCGCTTAGTTGTTTCATAGCCTTTTTTGTTCCTCCTGTTCTTTTTATATTTTCTTCCAAAACTCTTCATATTCTCCTTAATTTCCTTGCTAAGGGTTGCAATGTTTTGGCGTCTTTCTTTGTCCTCTTTTATTTGATATTAGTGTTCTTCCTTCTTCTAATAGTTCTAGTGTCTTTTTACTTAAATAGCTTTCTTTGCTTCTGGGTTTGCTGACTAGCATCTCTTTCAATTTGTGTGTTGCAATAGTATTAGTAAATAATAAACACTGAGTTTTTTGTTAGCAGTTTCAACAACAATATTTTTACTGCTTATATTAATAAGTTTTTAATATAATATAATATAATATATACATTGGTCAATATTGATAGAGTGAACTCCGAAGATGGATAGATCATTTATCATCAAGTAAAATATTATCTTTTTAGCTGTAATAATAATAATAATTATATGCAATATTAGTTACATTTATTTTCAGAAATTCAGTCAAATAATCTGAATTATATATATATATATATATATCATCTATACATATAATAATAAGTAATAAAGTTAATAATAAGATGACTCAGTGACCAGTAGTGGCAGTGTAAGAATATCTACTACCCCATTGCCCCTTGAGTGTTATAAGCGGCGACAGAGTGTAGTTAGTTTACGACGGGCTGTTTTCCGCAATTCCGCAACTCTCAGCGCGTATTTTGCGTGAAGCGACAGCAGCACCTTCCTGACAACAACTCAAAATAATAAAAATTGCACTTGCCCACTTGTTAAGAGAGGGAACTATGGCAAATATTCTCCCTATGTGGTAATCTATGGGGGGACCTATGTTCAGACTCAGTAACGTAGTGGTTAAGTGTTCACAAATATTTGTTTGACCTACAAATAATTGCTTCTGGTCTGGATACAAACATCCACAATATAACTAAAACACCAACACGCCATGCTGCAGCTATATTAATAGTATAGTTGTACCACGAATGGGTCGGCCATTCGGCATTTCGAGGGGAAGGACCACGCTCTCACAGAATACCAGTGTAAAATAGCAGCTTAACACTGCTGTGTTTCGTATGGTGAGTGTAGAGAACCGGAGACCCTTTTTACTGGAAAAGAGGCATTCCATCTTAGTCCTCACGGGTGACAACGCATCTGCATTTTGATTCGCAAACGAGGATAAATATAGATGTCTATAGGCCACAGCAACCACTTACCATCAGGTGGACTGTGTGCTCGTTTGTCACCTTATCCTATATAAAAAAAATTAGGTAAAATAGGTATAAATGAAGTACCTTTAAAAAAGGTACATGGATATTCTACAAATTTTCTAATGCAAAGCAAATGTATTTAAGCTTATTAATATTATATTTTAATATGAAATAAAAAGAATTACAATGTGATAAAATATATGATGATAGGAATGTCAATGACATCAAATGACCGCGATCTGTCAACTGTCACTCAAAAATATGAATAAAACATATTTGCTTGCAAAGTAAATTAAGTTTCCACTCTTATATTTATTTAACTTGGTCTAAGTATTACCAATCCATTGAAATCATAATTAGTTTTAAAAATAATTTTAGATTGTTTTTTTTTCTATTTTCATTGTTGGCAACATTTCGCCAAAAAGTAAATTAATTAACTACCACTCGAAAAACTTTCTTACCAATGGGTTGTCAGTTCTTCGAGCTTACTGATTCTTCTCGTCATGTATATCTCAAAATTTGAAAACAAAAGTGTACAACCAGTGCGTGCACTGTATAATAGACAACATAATGAGGATATATGCAGTAGAATCATACTAACCAATATAGTCCAACAGATCAGTAAAACTAGAATTTTTAATAGTTAAAAATATGTAAAGCCTAAAATAGTTAATTGTTCTACTTCATTACGCAAAGACTCTGAATTAACTGTATTGGATCAAGGGCGGTGCGAGCAGTGCGACCACACCCGGCGCCGTCATGGTATTGTTAAAAATAGATCGTATGGTTAAAAACACTAAGAACTCTTCTAACGGGCACAGGTAGTCATTAAGTCCCAAAAAAAGTTCTTAATAATTGAAATAAATTTACACAACAACATATTGCATGCCTTAAGCGCAAAGCGCGTAGGTATGTTGTACTAGGTACTAAGACTGTTTTTCTACCTACAAGTCTGTCTGGATAGGTACGACCGTCATACGTATTTCTGCCGCCAAACAGCAGTATTAGAGCTGTTGTGTTATATAGAGAACTGTATAACTGCGAACTGACAATACGTCTGTAGTATTCTTTGATTAAAGTGGTTTGCAGGTTTTTGTGGGCTGCAGCAACCACTTACCATCATCGACTGTATCGACTATCGACAGTAGTTAAGTTCGTTTGCCACTTCAGTTTAATAAAAAGTAAACAATTACTTTTTAGAGATTTTTTAAAAATGTTATTGAAAATAGGGTTTTTAATTTTTATAGACTAAGGGTGACAAACACACAGTCGACCTGATGGTAAGTGGTTGCTGTGGCTCATAGACAGCCACATCTATCTTCGTTTGCGAATTAAGATGCAAATGCAGTGTCAGCCGTGAGGACTAAAATGGAATGCCTCTTTTCCAGTAAAATGGGTCTCCGGTTCTCTACACTCACCATACGAAACACAGCAGCATTAAACTGCTATTTTACGCTGGTATTCTGTGAGATCGTAGTCCTTCCCCGGTCGAG